TATCAAAGAAGCTGTGTAGATGCGAAAAAATAAAAATAAATCAATAATGAAAACTATGATATAACAACAACTGTGAGTAAATAATTTACGTTTAATTTCTTAGAATACAACATTACTGTACATAAAATATCACAGCATGTTATAAAGAATAGACAAGCATCATCTTATTTAATGAGTGCAGTGGCTGAGAATAAAATACAAGCATATGAAACAAGGTAACTGGGATAAAATAAAACGAATAAAATTAGACAATTAATTTCTTACAATAGGTAAAAGTTCGCGTCACACCTTTCACCTTGTGACGGCACAGCAGTGTGCCGCGGCACACCGGTTGCGGAACACTGCCATATCCAATACATACAGGGGTCTGTTTCCTCAGCGTTAAAGCGGCTGGGGCGTGAAGCTGTCCACTGACCTCCAAATAATGTCGAGGTCAAGAATGTGTTGATTTATAAATCAACTACCCCTTAGTGTTTAATTAGTTAAGCTCAGGGACAGCTTTTTCTTTTACCTTAGAGGGATCGGTTTTAGTAATATGAGTTGTATCTCCTGGCCGTGGTAATGCTCACTCTCGTCAGGACATCACTGTGGAGAGCAAGACATTCACAATTTTCGTGTCCCATTTCACCAATCACGAGACAGACGAACAAGGTCCTCACCTCCAACTTACGCAGTTTCTTGACGAGTGGAGACTCGTATTTAATTCTATCGTACTCCTCTTGCGTGAACATGAAGCCTTGCGCCGCACTGTCGCCAAGAGAGTACTTGGGCGATGCGACGCTCAGGTCTGAAGCACTTGTCGCTGCCGTGGTGCCCAGCATGGACGCCGCCTCCCCTGCTCCCCCTCCATCTGCCTCATCCAGATTCCCGTGATAGCAGGGACTCGCGGAAGCAGGCGATAGTTTTACCTGCAAAGCAGATCACGTTTTAATTAGTGTGTAGGGACCAGTGGAGGGCTCTTGTGAACACGACACTGAACTTTCGGGTTCCATAAAATGCTGGGAAGTTCTTGAGTAACAGCATAATTGGTGGCTTCTCAAGAAGGGCTCAGCTCGATGAGTGAGTGAGTGAGTGAGTTCGACATTCTATGTGATTCCTTTTGTGGGAGACAGGGCCACAGAAAGGCAACTGTGTCTATGGAAAATATCAGAAAAAAAGAGAGACATTACTCGAACTGGTTTCGAATTTACGTTTCACTGTTCGAAAAATCCAAATTTAGTGGTTTCGCAAATAAGCATTAAATTTCAAATATTATCTTCGGTATACTTGTCTTTTCGTCCATTGTCCCGAATATAATATCTCTAGAATAATTAAATAGATTTTTATGATATTTGGTATTGGGGATGTTTACTGAAATTTATCGGAATATAAAAATTATTTTTAAATATGACAAACGTAACAGGTTACACGAAGAAGTACACGGATTTCTGCTGGAATCAGAAGGTACCCCCAGTTAAATAGTTAATTACAGCGAGGGAAATTATGACAGTGACATGTCCTCATATTAGGTCAGTGGCTTCATAGGTTATTAGCTGAATTGAATGGATTACGTAAGTTTATTATTATTTCTTTAACTCAAAATGGGATTTTACTCGGTGACAGTGGCTTTTACCTGTTGGTAGCCGCGATATCTAACGTTGAATAAGTTAAACAGTCACATTTCATGGAGAGATGAAAATTTCCGATGTGAAATTATGCAGTGTACCCTTATCTGAAATCTTGTTAGCTAACTTGTTTCATACTTCTATAACCAAAAGCCTCGCAACAGAACAGAACAGAACAGAGGGGGTTTTGATACAGGAACTTGCAAAAACTTTAGTTATTTATATTAATTAAGCATTCAAAAATAATTCAAACACGTCTAATAAAATATTAAATGCACGTTTCCGCTATTGCTTGAATTAAAGAAAGATTTTATCATTTTTTAAAGAGATATGAATATAAAATTATGTGATAATTTTAGAATAAGTATTTATTTTTTGATTGTAAAATTTTCGTAGTTTCAGTCCATCTTTTATGTGCTCTCAGAGCTTGATGGAGCTAAAGACTCTAAATCCATGTACCTGGAGAGTTCTGAATGCAGAGTGATTTAGCTTCCGCCCGGCAGACGCTGTAACTTACCGAAACTCTCAAATTAATGGTATTGACATTGAAAGGGTATTGAAGTTACTGAAGGGAATAACAACAGATTTACCAGGGACAAGCCCCCCATTTCGAAACTTCCCCTCCTTCTCCGGGTTAAAGTTGTTCTGATTTTCCCCAGGCAATCATTTTAATACACTGACCTTTGTCCTTTTTTCTTCTATTATCTTCTTTGTTAATTTCGATATTTCGAATACAGGGTGTTTCATCAGTTCTTTGGACGCTTCTTCAACTGGAATTTTACCCTCTAATATCAACTTCTTTTCCCTTTCCACCTCTGCAGCCTGAAAAGTCACAGAAATCAGGAGAACATGTCGTTATTGGTTCCCGATTTTGATGATTTCGTGCAAGTTCGTATAGCCGCTAACTACGTATATTCTATCTTCGCACAAAGTTGAAACCAGTTGGGGCCACACGAATGCACAGAATGCGTCCGTTGTAACGTACGTCGTGACGTCCGTTGTAGAAATAAACAAGAGAGGCGAATGCTACGCTTTCTTCTAGCTCCATTGCAGACAAAAAACTACGCACCGCATTCTACAACTGTGTGGTGTCCTCAGCAACGTCCGTCATAACGTACGTTCGTTGCAACGGACGTACTTCGTGCGCTCGTGTGGACCCAGCCTAAAAGATGATGGGTTCCATTTTCTGGGATATAACGCCACGTAGACCGTTGAAATTCAACGAACACTGCTTGGTACATTCTTCATACTGATTTCTTACACGTCTTACTCTTCGACACTGAAGATGGAGGCAACACATTCCTCCTAAACATCGAATGCACGGAATTTTATCCCAGAAGCTAGAACTCTTCATAATCTCCGTTATGAAGCCTCTAATCCCCCCAAAATTAATGGATTTTCATGAAATTTTGCATGTACGTATAATTTGTCATGAGAAACGCTTCACCTCTTTGATATTTATTTTCTATCATCATTAAGACAAATCATTTAGGAACGAAAACTTTAAAGTTATATACTGCAAGGTATGCAAGGTAACTTGGTATGGCAGTAGATTTTCGAAAAATAAATAATATATTGTGATATTCTTTTAGAATATAAACCAAGAAATTGGAGGTGGGGCGGAATCTAAGTTTAAGGACTCTAACTATTGAAATGCGGCGCCCCGGGTTCGATCCCGGGTCTGGTCAAGTGGGATTTGTGGCGGACAGAGTGGTGCTGGGGCGGGTTTTCTCCGAGTACTTCGGTTTCCGCTGCCAATCTTCATTCCACCAAATTCTCCATCATCATAATCACCCGGAGAAGGCTACATTAAGCCAATCAGTGACCGCCCCGCCGAGTGGACCCGGTTGGACTCCACCCCCCACCAAGCGAATTTAAAAATAAATAAAAGTAACTGTTTATGGAGACATAATAGACGTAAACCAGGTGAAGTCGAAAGAAGTGCAGCATGACGTCATGTAGGTCACATTGAAACGAGCGCAATGGAGAAGCTTACGTGACGCTGAACTTTCTCAGCATTTTGACAACATTTGAAGAGTTGATCGTATCTGTAGAGCAAAGACTCAACTGCTGAGTAACAAAACAACTGAACAGTATATTTCCGCAGCCGTATAATGTGATGAAGGGGCTTGCGGTAGCGTGGTTGGTTGAAACACTATGCTAAAAATCGGAAGGTCACGGGTTCGATTCCCGATTACGTCATCGGATATTCCAATTTACCTAATTCTTAGTTTTGAGACTGAATCCACTTGGTGCTGCAGCCACTTATGGCTTATTGTACCAGCCCCAGATGATAGGTCATGGTGATTGTGGAGCAATTGGTGGAATGAATATTCACAGGAAGACTGTAGTACTTGGAGAAAACCTGCCCGAATGCTACTTCATCCACCACAAATCCCATATTACCTGACCCGGGCTGGAACCCGGGCCGCCGCGGTGGGAATCCAGTGAATAACCGCCTGAGCTATGGAGCGGCATTTTCAATTCGCCTAATTCTTCCAGCCACACTATGGCCCTGGGGTCGGCTCAGCCTCTAACAAAAATAAGTACCAGGAATCTTCCTAGGGGTAAAGGGAGGTCGATGCGTAAGACTGACAACCTTACCGCCATCTGTGAGCCGACTGTCTAGAAAATGTGGGAACCTCGACGTCTCACAACCTTAAGGGTCTCCAGGGCCTGTCACAGGGATAGCTTTACCTTTACCTTCTATAATGTAATGAAAGGCCATTTTGATGCAGGGCTTTGTTACAAGCCTGTCAGTCGTGTTGCCGTCAATCTGCCTTAGTGCCTCGTCTCTCGCGTGGACTAGCGACAGATGCGCAGGCGGAAATAGGCAAAGTTTCCGCGCTTTTTAAGGCAGCGTGATATAAGAAGCATTTGCGTCTCAGAAATCCTATGACGTTCATATTCTTTCGGTTTCTATGCCTCGAGTGTATACACAGAAAAGTAATAAAGTGATATGGAAGAAAGAAGACCTGGAATTGAATAGACAATGATAATTAGGGAGGCTGGAAGAGATCTTAATATTCCAGAAAAAGAACTCCTCGTAGGAAGCTGGTTTCAAAAGACTAATAAACGTCAACTAGGACAGTCCCCGCATTTGAAACGTGAAGACGAGACTAAATCAGTTTTGTTCACTGAACCACCTCAGCCGGAAGCTGTTCTCCTGATAAGGAAACTGTTCAAATTTTACATTGAACGTAGCAATATATTTCGGCTTAAAACAATGTTTAATGGAGGGCAGAAATCAGCTGGAAGAGACTGGCATAAAACTTCATGGAGAGCAATTCTCAAACTTCTCTCAAGATAGCAGAAGATATCGATATAACTAGATCCCAGGGTATGAGCGTAGAGGACGTGAATAGATAATCTGATTTGTTAATCACAGCTACGTCAGATACAGTTCACTCGCAAAGTCAGCTCAATCAGGCTTACCTGTAGCAATGGAAATATGTGAAGGTTCTAAAATCCTCACCCCAGGTTAAAAGGAGAAACTATTTCTGTAATCGCTTGTAGCAATTCTGAAGTTCCTTTCTTATTATTCTTTTTTAAAAAACCGCCTCTGTGGTCTAGCTGTCTGAGTTCCTGCCTACAGATCCAGAGGTCCCGGGTTCGAATCCCGGCGCTACCAGATTTTATGAGAAATAGTGGATCTGGAACGGGGTTCACTCAGCCTCGTGAGGATAATTGAGGAGCTATTTCAAGGAAATAGTGGCCGTGGGGATTCGTTGCGCTGACCACATGACACCGTCTATCCGCTAAGGTTGACACTAACTTCGCCAACAAGCGGCGGTCGCTCGGTCGGTATAGTTCGCTTGCGGACTACAGACCACGGAGTTTGTTTGGTTTATTCAGAATAAGAAAGCTGAATGCTCAGTTAGAATATTTGGCAGCTCTGTTATGGCAATGAACAAGCAGTCATAATATCTTACTCCTGCAGCATATAAGAACTGGTTTGTTATCAGTTTACAGCACCAGAATGCGCTGATAACGCTCGTCTTATTCTGGATGGTCGTGCATCCCACAAGAACTGCTATCAGTTGTTGGAATTCTGTGTCTACCAAGACGTAGTCCTCATTGTGAGCAGGCTTTATACAGAGAGTCAGAGTCAGAGTCAGTCAGAGTCACATTGCGACTGGCAGTCAATCAGTCAGTAAGTCTTGGTGTCGAGCCTAATCTGGGACTCATAAACAGATATTTATTACTGTTTCATATTTACGGTGTTTATTTTTTTTTGTGGGGCTCCCTCTCTGACGAGAGGACGACTGTGTCATTTGTATATGCTGCTGGTCCTTTCCAGCGCAGTCTTTGTTGGGTCCGAGTCCCTTGGGGCTCGCGACTATATTTTACTCTCTCAGATTTGAGACTTCCCATTTCGTCCCCTCCTACGACTTTCAAGGTCACGTTGGAAGTATTCGACCCCCCTCATGGGTTTCGGCTTTATACATTCGTGTTTTGAACCCTTAAAACTCTACTCCTACCAGGCCGGCCAAAATTATATAATAGTGAAAGAGCAACTGGAGATTACTCGTATTACGTTTCTTAAGATCCTTTGCCATGCCTGGCCAGTTGTAACAACCACGGCAGCTGCGTCGGCTGCATTTCAATGTCCATTGCATAGATCAGCAGTTCAAGATAATGTCTGTCCATTCTCATAAATTTCTTCACGCATCGAACCTTTAAATAATTCTCTATAACGGTCTACTCATCTTCATCCAACTCGGTCCAGATTGCAACCGCTCTTACGCCCTTTATTTTCTGATGTTGATTGGGTTCCGGTGGCAATGAAAGTCTTCCTCAGGATCGTTTACGGGTCTTGGATTATGAGACAAAGGGTAATGATAATGCGACTGCACACATTACAATTGCTTACTGGTTTAATATATTATTTGCAGAACACGTCTATCCGTCGGAATCACCAAATTAGAAGTCCCCCTTGAAGCCCGGACTATATCCTTGAGTTTGGGGAAATTATTCTCCCACCCTCGCAGATATATTCCATCATCGCTTCTGATTCGATCATTCAAAATGAAGGCGGGTGTTACAACGTTGAATCCTCCAATACCCTCTTACAATTATATCTTCGAAGCCGCTGGTCCAGCGATATTCCCAACGATTCCTGAGACCTCGCTAGACCACAGCTGCGAAGTGTAATATTTCAAACGATAAGCGGCATCCTTTGCTCATAATATATATATATTTATATTGGCTTCACGTAACAACTGACACTATGGCACCACTATTCCGTGCCGCAGGGATATAGGTGTCAGTTGTTTATACTCCGCTTACACCAAGTCTTGCTCTTAATATTCCAATTTAATCACTAGCTTAAATTGGACGACTTCAAGATCTTCTAACGATGCTAAGAAATCCATGGAAAACAACCGACAAGGACATCGGGCCGCACTACTACTACTACTACTACTACTACTACTACTACTACTACTACTACTACTCCTAATTCTGACATTAACACTAGTGCTTCTGCTATCACTACTACTGCTGCAGATAGTGCTACTGTTATTATTACTACCATCACTACTACTACTGCTATCACTACAACTAGTGATATCACCACTACTACTACTACTACTAATACTAGTTCTACTTCTTTAAATGCTAGTAGTGTGGGACTAAGTCCCTTGTACTGCGGCCACTTCTGGCCTATTGTACCAGCCCCAGATGATAGGTGAGGGTGATTATGGAGCAATTGGTGGAATGAAGATTGGCAGAGGAAACCGAAATACTCGGAGAAAACCTGCCCCAGCGCCACTCTGGCCACCACAAATCCCACTTGACCAGTCCCGGGATCGAACCCGGGCCGCTGCGGTGAGGAACCAGCGACTAACCGCTTGAGCTATGGCGCGGCCAAACTACTACTACTAGGACAGTAACAGTGAGCGAAATGCATACGGAAAGCCCACAGAAAAATCTTAAGGAATTATGGCCCTGTGTTAATGCGAAACGAAAAAAGAGATATCTGTTATTCAATTACAAAAGGAATACATGTATACATCAATTATGATAAACTTCAGTAGTTGGGATGGGTCAGTCGATACAACAACTAGGCTGAGGGCTGGACGAGCAAGGGATCGAGATTGATTCCCGGTAGGAGAAAGAAGTATTTCACTTATCTATAAAATCCAGACCAATGCGACCGGGATGCGAAGCTGACGACTCACTTCTACATATTAGCAAACATAAAAATGGGTGGAGCTAGTACTCCACTTCCTTACAATTCTCAATGGTGTGGTCCTTAATTAAACGCAGTGACAACTTATCTTTTAACACAGATATCTCTCCTACATCGCGTATATTTTTAGTTATCGTTCACTAAAACAAAGGAAGTTAAGGTAATCATGCTGGATACCTTCCCCAATCCATAGTGTGATACAATAATAAACAGAGTAGTACCTCCCTCTCCTGTATTCTCTTGCTCTGCCTCTGCAGGCGGTCCTCGCAGATCCTCTCCTGCAGTTTCTGCATGAATTCCCTGTCAGTGAGTCGCACTGTGCTCGTGCCCATCAGCTTCTCGAGGAGCAGCCGTGTGTCTGGTTGGCTGAATCTGCATACGAAAAGTTTTCTCTGTAGATCTCTCTTTGGTTTTGTTAGGTCTCACACACACACAGTGGCAGTCTTGTCTCGAACCACAGTAAGCACCCATTTCACAAACGACACAAAACAAACAAACTCTGTGGCCTGTAGTCCGCAAGCGAACTATACCGATCGAGCGACCGCCGCCTGTCGACGAAGTTAGTGCCAAGTTTAGCGGATAGAGGGTGTCACGTGGTGAGCTCAACGGATCCCCACGGCCTTTAATCTCGGCTTTCTAGACCGGATCATGAAGGACACAGTGTGGAAATTTTCACATGACTTGGGGCCGCGCTATAGCTCAAGCCGTTAGTCGCTGGCTTTCCACCGCTGCGGCCAGGGTTCCAGCCCGGGTCTGGCCTAGTGGGATTTATGGTAGACAAAGTGGCGCTGGGGTAGGTTTCCTCCGAGTACTTCAGTTTCCCTTGCCAATCTTTATTCCACCAAATTTTCCATCATCATAATCACCCGGGGCAGGTACAATAGGCCAATCAGTGCCCTACGTGTCGAGTGGACCCAGCTGGACTCCACCCCGCACTATGCGAAAATACGTGTATGGTAGCTCCGTGTGTATTGATGTCAGAGCTTCAAGCTCTCTCTGTTCACATGGCAAATATTACTTATGAATCTGATGCGATTTCTCATCTGCGAAGTCTTCTACACAGGAGATGGAAAGCCTTACATATAGACTGCCTACACTTTCATACATGTCAGAGAAGTTGCCGCATCAACGCGGCGCAACAGCTCCACTTCACTCTTTAACCTTAGACCTCGCTGAGTTTAGATAACACAGTCATTATAGTGAAGAGAATTAACAGCTGGACGACCGAGGAATCTGGATTAAAATTTACTCTCCACCGCAGTTTCCAGGCTGACTCTGATACTCATCGAGCATTCCATTATAAGGTATTGAATATTCGCTCCACGGGGACAGAGCTGATGGGAACTAAAGCTGACCACTTACCTCCATCTAGTAGCAACTTTAAGAATAGGCCGCGCCATAGCTCAAGCAGTTAGTCGCTGGCTTCCGACCGCGGCGGCCCGGGTTCTATCCCGGGTCTGGTCAAGTAGAATTTGTGGTGGACAACGTGGCGCTGGGGCAGGTTTTCTCCGAGAACTTCGGTTTCCCCTGCCAATCTTCATTCCACCAATTGCTCCACAATCACCCTCACCTATCATCTGGGACTGGTACAATAGGCCAGAAGTGGCCGCAGTAAAAGGGACTTAGTCCCACCCCACTAGCAATAAAAAAAACTTTAAGAATATGTGAAAATATACCACTACCCCCCCTGTACATGTTCATGACTCAGTACTTAATTAATTAAGAACAAGAATGATTTTACAAAATTATCAGTAAATTATTGGCTGCAATCTGGATCTTACTGCAGCCACAGCAAATTCGCAGTCACCTAGCTTCTTACCAGATGGGTGGGTACCGGTTGCTGTTTAGCGAGAGACAGAGCTCACCGTCCGTGTTTATGCAGTGTCGAGTTGCAGTCTGTATTCCGTACCGCCTCTGCGCTGAATTGCAGGCATAATTTATTGTTTCATATAAGATTTTTAATAACCGCTCTGTGTGATTAATGAAAGTTGTGTTTTTAATTTTTATCCTTTACATATTTCAGTCAAAATTACCACTGTCAAAAGGCAATTATCAACACATGTGGGAACTACTATTACCATGTCATAGATATAAATATTATATCTTTTAACTAATACTAAAGTCTACATTGATTTGTTAAAACATCTAAAAACTATTACAATTAATCTGTTTACAAAGTAGTGTACAATATTTTTTTCTGATTTAAAACAAATTTAGTCCGTGTCACTAGAATTCTTCTCCTAAATGAAAGATGATTGTATTCCACAGCGTGGTTTCGTTGTCTGATGATGAAAGCCCTGCAGTTGTATTATGGGTATTGTGTAGAGTTTCTATGATCCAGATTTTATTCAAATATATCTTTTCATTTTTAATCCTACTTTTGATATCTAGTCCAGTTTGCAGGCTATTCTGTGTTGTTATGCACTATATAATATTTAATATATATTATAATATTAATATATATTAACAAAGTTAAGTTTATTCAGTTCCAATTGAAGCATGACCTAGGCTTTGATGTCTCAGAAGATAATCCCAGACTTGTGGTTCCTAACTTCTGATCTGTGTACATCAGAGTTCTGTGTGACTCTTGTTTCTTTAAATATGCGTCCGTGTTTGGTAGATAATTGCGTTCTCGCATTGAGGTTTGGAATTTGGCGTCTGTAGGACAGAGCTGCACTGAACTCTGTTGCAAGCCTTGAAGATTATATAACGTGGGAAATCTTACGTGTGAATCGAATTGCTCGCATTCAGAAGAGAAGACAATGAAAAGATAAACCGTGTTTTACTGCGGTTTAAATTAGAGAGTGCCCATAATTTTGGACCATACGCAATAACGGAATTTTGACACAGCTATTACAAACTTTTCTCAATATATCTAGTATTCTTTCAAGTAGAGGAGGGTTAGAATACCTCCACTGTAGCCCTGCGAGTCGTAGAAGGCGACTAGCCGGGAACCCAGTGCCTGGGGGTATAACTGGGCCCCCCTGTCATTGGGGGATGTAAGTACAGGATATGGTCCTGCAGGTTGGGGGTTTGACTCAACGCTAACTATTTTATTATGTAAAAGAATATTGTTATGGTATCCAAATAAGCAGAAACCGAGCAGTGTATTCCACGACATCCTAGCAAAATAAATAAGGATACCATAGCCAGAAATGAACAGGTCCGACAGAATATCCTAAGGAAGACTATGGCTCAACAATGGCTGTTTTACCTGTGATGTCTGGCAGTTGCACCAACATAATGGCGCGAATGTTTTAAGACGACAACTCGCTCTGGAAGGTGCTGTAAATTGGACAACTTCGTTGTTTCGTCCACTGTGTGTATATGAGGCAATGTGTCTTGTGAATTCGGTTATATTCATGCATAATTGCTTCTTCACGTCCCTGCGCAGTATTTTCGTATTTTAGGCTAATATTTTATCGGGAGTACTGAGCGTTCAGTTCTTACTTACTTATTCATGGAGCTGAGCCCTTCTGGAGGAACCGCCAATTCTGCGACTACTCAAGAATTTCCCAGCATTTTATGGAACCCTAAGGTTCATTCCCGTGTTCACAAGAGCCCTCCGCTAGTCCCCATCCTGAACCAGATCTATCCAATCCATACCATTCCATCCTATCTCTCTAAGATTCACTCCAATATTGTCCACCCACCTACGCCTTGGTCTTCCTCAGTGGTCTCTTTCCTTCTGGCTTTCCCACCAATATCCCATAGGTATTCCTAGTCTCCCCCATTCGTGCTACATGACCCGACCACCTCATCCTCCTTGACTTGATCATTCTAATGCTCAGCGTTTAGTACTCTTATGAAATATACGGAGCGAGAGAAATGTGTTCCTTAGGTTATAACCAACCTTTCGAAGGAACTTTCTGACTCTCAGTTCTGCCCTTAAAATGGAGGATGTGCCTCCGTGATTTCTGTAATTATCTGTTGATCATAAACCAGAAAATTATATTCTTAAAGAGTCTCTCATCCTACTAATAAAATGTAGTTTAATTTCGCCAGTTTAGCCGGTTCGTGTTCTTTCGTTCTTAAGCTTGTTTTACGATCATGCCAGTAACTAAACTATACTAAACTAAACTTCGTGACCTGTAGTCCACAAGCGAACTATACCGACCGAGCGACTGCCGCTTGTCGGCGAAGTTAGTGCCAACTTTAGCAGACAGAAGGTGTCGCGTGGTCAGCGCAATGGATCCCCAGGCCGTTAATTTCGGTTTTCTAGACCGGAGCCGCTATTTCCTTGAAATAGCTCCTCAACTATCATCACGAGGCTGAGTGAACCCCGTTCCAGACCCATATACTATACTTGTATAATATGTAACTCTAAAATGATTGGTTAATGATGAATTCGAAGATATGTGGAAATATGTGGCCGTGCCGTAAGCAAGATACTCTCCCGATATTTGCGTGGAGGGTCTGAAGTAAACCACGAAGAACCTCATTCAGGATATTATCTGTCCTGGTCGAGATCTGACACAAGGCTAGAACAAGACCACTAAACTAGCGTGTACAGTGAATTCCTTTCAACTACTAAGTAAAAGTAACTAGCAAGTTGCGAAATTATATTCTTATGTACTTGTCATGTGACACAGAATATATGCTATTTTAAAATATACCAAACTCTCATAGCCTGGGTAGCTCAGTGGCTATCGTGACAAGGCTACGGGCTCAATGACCAGGGAATTTAGATTGTATTTTCGGCAGTGACAGGCCATTGACCCCATCCAACCTTTCACTCACTTGATACTGGGGTAACTTCACCGGGGTAAATCGGCCGGGGTGTGAAGGTGACTCCATCTGTCGTCGAGTTTAAGAGTACAAGATACTACACGTGTACTGGGGCAACTTCACCGGGGTAAATGGGCCAGGTTGTGAAGATGACTCCATCTGGCGTCGAGTTTAAGAGTACAAGATACTACACGTGTACTGGGGCAACTTCACCGGGGTAAATGGGCCAGGGTGTGAAGGTGACTTCATCTGGCGCCGAGTTTAACAGTACAAGATACTACACGTTTACTGGGGTAACTTCACCGGGGTAAATGGGCCAGGGTGTGAAGGTGACTCCATCTGGCGCCGAGTTTAAGAGTACAAGATACTACACGTGTACTGGGGCAACTTCACCGGGGTAAATGGGCCAGGTTGTGAAGATGACTCCATCTGGCGCCGAGTTTAAGAGTACAAGATACTACACGTGTACTGGGGCAACTTCACCGGGGTAAATGGGCCAGGGTGTGAAGGTGACTTCATCTGGCGCCGAGTTTAAGACTACATGAGGCTATACGTGTACTCCCTCATGCGTCTTCAAGGTGCGGTACCTAATTAAACACAGGGACAACTTAACCTTTACTTTATTTGAGGATGAAATACAGTCG